AACGAGATAAATTAATTCAAGAATATGGGGGGTTGTTCACAATGCTTTTGAATATTGTTATGGTTTCTACGTGGAGATATTTAAAATGAGTTTTGAGTACATATAGTTTTTTATTTCCACTTTTTGAATATATAATTAATTTGCCTAAAAATGTATACACTTTGTATCTCTTATTAATATTATTAATATTATTAATATAATATATGAGAAAATTAATATACACTAAAACTTCAATAATGGATACGAATTAGGAGATTTTACCACATTTCTTGTGGGTAAATTTTAAAGTTGTAAGCAGTTTCTTATAATTATGTTGCAAGGAGTTATATCTCAAATGTAAATAAATATTGGTTACGAATCAAAATTTTGGTAAGATTTGTGTTATTGTTAAATAATGTTGGCTTTGATATATTATGTGTGGTCATAGCATGATCGAAACTACATGTTGATCTAGGGGGCAATTGCCCTTCCTCAAATTTTATTTTTTTTATTATTATACTTAAAAATTTTAATTTGACCACTTTCTTAAATTATTTTTTGCACCCCTAAATTTTTTGTCATGTCTTTTTCCCCTCTCAATTAATTTTCTAATTTCGACCCTAGGTCGAGCTATATATGTATATAGGGCGTGTCTAATATTAAATCCAAACTCATATTGTACCCACCACTCAATCATGGCCGTAGGGACATTTTACAATCAATAATGATCTTTTCTTTTGTTAAATAATTTTTTTTTTTTTCTTAATAAACTCTTTCATCATTTCAATCAAGAAAAAGCAAATTGACATTTACAATTAATGTTACAACGTGATATTACATAAAAGATGATGATAACCAAAACAATACGTATCCTAGACATCAGAAATTATGCAATGTATCTCAAATGTAACAAAGAAATCATCATAAGACCTGTTCCGGACTTAACACTCATAGTGAATTTTCTTAAACTTGATTTATATTACTTTCACAATTATAAATCATACTTAACAAAATTTTTTAATGTGATGTAAAAGTTGTCATGATCTATTAGAATCCTAATAATCAGTTTCGAAATGGATTTTTTTTTAATATAAATAGCAATATATATACGTTTCAAATTAAGATTTTTCGTTTTAGTATAATCTTATTAACTAATGTTACCAAACACTAATTAATAAAAAAAAAAAAATATTACCAAACATTTTTATTATTGAACTAGATTACTGGTGACTAGCCATTAGCCGCAATCTCTAAATTAACTTAATTATCATCTATTATTTTTCAGCTAAATGTACTAAATATATATACCTTAATCAGAATTTTAGTAAATTTATTAGGCTAGACGAGGCCCTAAATGAGAAAAAAATAAAAATTGAATAAATTAAATCAATAAGTCTTATATACCTTACATCATTAATCTATATATATATAATAAGAATTACTACTTACTACATTTAGAAAGTAATTCCCGTCAAAAAAATTTAATTGTATACTATAAATAGAAATAAAAGATGGAACATTAAATGTAATATTCAATTTGTTAGGTCAACTGCATGAATCTCGTCAGCGTACTAACCATGTTTTCAAAAACAGTTTGTACAAAATTTTGTGATGCTTATCCTTAACATAATCTTAATAATTATTTTATAAGTCCAACCCATAAACATAAATATAGGCGTGGATAGCTAAGAAAAAAAAAAGATAATTTTTTAATTGAATAAGTAGTTCGACCATAGATTTTCAGACTAGCTAAATTTGAACTTAATTGAATAAAAGTAGTTCGGCCATAGATTTTCAAAATATTTTGTACGTCTTTTTTAATGAAAATTATTTTGTACGTTATTTTTAATGATAATTCGGGTATCTAAATATTTATTATGCATAAATTACTAAACATAAAAAAAAAACTAATTTCCAATACATTTTGTACTCACGTGACGTGTTTTTGTATCATAATTCTGGTATCTAAATATTTATTATGCTTGCCCGACGTGTACTTGCAAACAGTAAAAAAACTAATTTTTAAACTATGTTGCACTCACATCTTTTTGGGAAATATGCTCAGCGTGTATTTGTACTCACATCTTTTTGCTAACGGTAAAAAAACTAATTGCGTGTATTCAAATACATGTTTTATGTTCTTCTATACAAGATAATTTTATATTATTTACAATAAAATATGCTCGACTGTTGGCTCATTAGCATTATTTGTAAATTATATCACGTGTTAATCCACATTATTATTTAATATTATTTATTTATATCTTTAATATATAACTAACATTTAATATGCACTAGTTGGTATAAAACAATGAAGCCGACATATTTCAAACAAAACAATATCTCTCTCTCTCGAGGCATTTTTATGTGTCACATCTCACATACAAAGTTACCCTTTCTCTCTCATGCAGTTACATTTCATCTCTGTTGAAAAACTTTGACATATTGTCATATCAAACAAAAATATTAATTAATATATGCATATTATCAACAATCATCATTATAAATATAAACAGATGCACCACTCAAAGTTACCAATTTAGTGAAGGAAACAAAAAAAAACAAAACCATAAATTTTTTTTCAGCAAACACAAATAATGGACTCTCTCTGGACTCTGTTACTAGTCACAACTTCTTTTATAATACTCTGTTTTTCAGCCATTTTTCTTCAATGGAAGCTCTTTAATAACCACACCAAAAAACCATCAAAAATCCCTCTTGGGAGCTTTGGCTTTCGGCCTTTCATCGGTGAAACTATTCACTTCATTTCTTGCGCGTATTCCGATCGACCCGAATGCTTCACGAACAAACGTCGTCAAATGTGAGTTTTCATTTTATTATTATTATTATTATTATTATTATTATTATTATTATTATTATTATTTTGCTTGCTATAATTTTATTATTGTTAACTTTTCTATTTTTTTATTTAAAGGTATGGAGATGTTTTCAAGTCACATTTATTTGGGAGCCCAACAATAGTATCAACTGATGCAGAGGTGAACAGAGTTATTCTACAAAGCGACTCGACAAAATTCGTGCCTTCTTACCCGAAATCGCTAATGGAATTGATGGGAAAGACGTCGATTTTGGTCGTTAACGGGGCTTTGCAGAGGCGAATCCATGGATTGATTGGGAATTTTCTAAAGTCTCCATTTTTAAAAGCTCAAATCACTGCTGATATGCAAAAGTATGTGACTCAGTCTATGGAGAATTGGAGGGAAGATTGTCTAGTGTACATTCAAGATGAAGCAAAGAATGTAAGTAGAGTATTTTTTTTAATTTTTTTTTTTCTAATTCTAAAGTATTGTTGTTGTTGTTTTATAATGATCTTGAATTCATATAATTTTGATAACAAAAGATTTAATTTTTAGTGTTACAAATAAATATTTTTGGTGTGTGTGTGGTAGTGAGACTTTGATGTTTGTATGATTACACACTACACATACACACAAAGTGGAAAGTGCGCTTTGAGATTGTTACTTTTTTGTTTTTTAAATGATTTGATTATTCGGCAGCCTAATCGTTAAACGGATCGACCCGTGACAAAAAATGCATATTATTTTATAAAATGTCGTACTTTTGTTTTGTCTTTTTTTTAATATAACACTTCAGTTTTAAAGGATTTGAGAAAGTATGATGATCGGCCTAACACTAGCCGCCTTACTTATATATATATATATATTATACTTAATATATATACTAGTACGTAGCCCGTGCGATGCACGGGACATAAATATTAAATGAGTCATTTCCACAGAGTTTGTCTGTTAAGTAGCTCTTGTGATTTGAGATATTAAATGAGTGGACAATATGGGTTGTCAGTTAAGGCCTAAAAAAGTAATAGAGTTTGATCATCTATTTTTTTACCTCTTTCATCAACGTCATCTTTTTTGTCGAGACATTAAACCTGAGCCTGGTAGTGGTAGCGCTAGACCGTAAATTAATTAATATATTATCTCGCTCACATGTTTATAATAATATAAATTTAATTTCATTATATATATTTATTCCTTGATATAAGAAAAATAACAATTTTACGTAATCTTGTTCCTCGTATAATACTCATATTATTTTATTATAAAATTTATTGTAATAGCATGATGAACCAATATATTATTATATAATATTTTAACATATATATTTATTTTTTAATACAAAATAATAATAATTTTACATATTGCGGTTCATCATAATACTCAAATATTAATCTATTAAAAAATCTATTATCATATAATGTCATTATTATTCATAACACTTGTAGAAGTAATATATTTGTTATATAATGATAAATATGTAATGTATATTAATATTATTTAGTGATGTAATTAATTTAAAAAGATATAAACAAATTTAATGTTAGGTAGGAACGTGATTATATGTAAGTTGAGATAAAATGAAATGTATCAAAAAAATCTTCTTATGATATTTTCCTTTAAATGTTTGAATGAATTTGAAATTCAAATTACAAATCAACCTTCAGTTATTCAAATAATTTTAAAAAAGTTACCAATTGTAGTAAAATGTACGTGACAATATATTATAGATATACACGACGTCAGTAATGTTATGAATCTTTAAGTTCCTAAAATATATATTGTTTAGATATGAAACTAATTAACTTATATGTTAAGATAATAAACACAAATATATGTATTGTACGAAATATACACGTGACAAGTTCTTATATTTGTTTATATATTGTTTGTATATTTGTTTGTATTGTTTAATATATTTGTTTATTATAATTGTATATAAATATATTGTTTATATATTTGTCTGTATTGTACGATAAATTATTATATTTGTTTATATATTGTTTAGATATGAAAATAATTAACCTATATGTTAAGATAATATATATAAATATATGTATTGTATGACATTTTTAAAATGTTTGTTAAATTTTTTCTCTAAAAAATTCAAAATACATATAGGCATGTTTTGTTTGAAGTTTGAAATTCAAATATGCATCTATATAATAAATCACATGATTTGTACTAGCATTAAATGCTACTTGACTTTTTATTAAAAAAATTAAAAAAACAATACCAACAATGGAATGCAATTAATATTCCCTATTTTTTTGCTTACTATTTTTGAAAAATGTTAATTCTTATTATATATATATATAGATATATATATTATATGTATTATAATTGGCATGAATAATTAACTTTATTATAAACAAAAGATTAAAACCATATATATATATATATTATATGTATTATAATTGGCATGAATAATTAACTTTATTATAAACAAAAGATTAAAACCTTAATTAACCACAATAATGTCTTGTAATGAATAGTAAAGTGAAAGATTAACTTTTTCTTTTATGTTTTTATTTTGATATTTAGATTGCATTTCGAGTGCTGGTAAAAGCATTAATTAGTGTGGAATGTGGTGATGAAATGGAGCTGCTAAAGAAGCATTTTCAAGAATTTATTGCGGGCCTAATGTCGTTGCCAATAAATTTACCTGGCACTCAGCTTTACCGATCTTTACAGGTAAGTTTAATCGCCCTATTAAGTATCAGTTTAATCGCTCCATTTTAAATTATAATATTTTAATATAAAAGTATATATGTGTTTAAAAAATGTAGTTGCAGCCAACATTAGTCCTAATTTAACATAATATAATTATTATAAGTAAGATTAATTCCAAAACGTAACACCTCTTAACACCCTATTGTTGCAAGTTATGGATTTGTTGTCATTATTAAGCATTTATGTCAATTTTGATTATTATTTACAGTCTGCTAACTAGTGCATGATTAATTTGCATCTATATAATTTATTCCAGAATATGATTTTGCGATCCATTGTAATTGTTTAACCCGTCAACATCCGCACGTTGACCAAGTCGTAGCCAAGCCACACAACATTCATAAAACTAGTGTTATTGGTGGTGGTAGAAATATAAATAAATTTAGTTATATTTATTATTATAACAATTTAGAAAAATATATTATAGAAGATAATATATTATATGAAATTTGAGAACTAATATGATTAAATATAAAAATGTCTAAAATATAATATATTTACAATTAGTGAAACAATTTTAATAGAATTAAGAATTATATTTTAATATTGTAGTATTAAAGTATATGATATGCATAAATCAAATTTACTTCATTTTATTTCGAAAAATTGATTGCAAAATACTAGCAATAACTAATAATAACAGTCTTCTTGATTTTTGATTTTTTTTTTTAATTTCCTTTTTCAGGCAAAAAGGAAAATGATAAAGCTAATTGATGCAATTATTCAATCCAAAAGGGACCAAAAAAATTTTCCAGGGGCACATTTGTCAAAAGACGTGATAGATGCACTGATGAATGATACTAGTGGGCTGCTTACAGATGAACTAATAGCAGAAAATATGATTGATTTAATGATTCCTGGTGAAGATTCAGTTCCGCTTTTAGTGACTCTTGCAATAAAATACCTGTCAGATTCTCCAGCTGCTCTCAAGCAATTAACAGTAAGCACTTTGATTATGTGTATTTAATTAAGTCTTAATATAATAAATTAATAGATATGCATATTGTAAGTTATTTCTTGAGTTATGCGACCTAACCATTAGGCAACAACGAGTCGATTCATCATATATTTATGATAAAAATTACATGTTTTATTATGAAATGTTATATACTTTTATTTATGTTGTTTTTAGAGTATAACGTTTCATTTTGTAAGTATATATATGCAATTGTTAGACATTCGTAAGTATATATATTTCATTTTGAAAGTATGCAAATTTGTTGAAAAAATATGACTACCCAGTATACTTACTGATTTTGTTATCAATTAGTACCTTAAGTACCTATTATGTTGTGTTTAATTTGATGCAAAAACTAATTAATTATCATCATATATTAGGAGGAAAATCTTAGATTAAAGATGCTCAATGAAAACAATCATGGGGAGCCATTNCAGACTATAATATATTAGTAAGACTGATTTAATTGTTTATAAATAAATTTCGTTAAAATGTACCAATATTTACACTTTTGGTTACATATTATTATTAATTTTGTGACATAGCACAGGTCATTACAGAGACTTTAAGGATGGGCAATATAATCACAGGGGTTATGAGAAAAGCCACAAAAGATGTTGAAATAAAGGGGCTTTTGATACCAAAGAACTGGTGTGTGTTTGCATATTTTAGATCAGTGCATTTGGATGACAGAGTCTATGATTCACCTTACCAGTTCAGTCCATGGAGATGGCAAGTAAGATTTATTTAATTTTAATTTTATATATTTATTTCCTAATAATTTAGGAAATTATGTTGTAGGCCTGAAAATAAAATTTCAAGCATTTAATATAATTAATTGCACAGGATAGGGAAGTAAGCAGTGCAAATTTCAGTCCATTTGGAGGTGGACAAAGGCTGTGCCCAGGGCATGATCTGGCCAGGCTGGAGGCTTCTATTTTCCTACATCATTTAGTAACTCAATTCAGGTATATAAGCCACAATTTTGTTTAATTTTGCCATTAATAATAATAATAATAATAATAATAATAATAATAATATAGTCTTTTAAGAAAATGTCATAATATTTATGATGACACAACTAATATTTTATAATTTTCCCTTTGGTAATTTGATTTCATGGTTCTCTTTTATGATGCGGGTGATAATAATTCGCTCGAGATAAAGTTAAAATCTGATGAGTTAGAAAAGGTAGGGGCCTAGGAACTAAGTTGAAAGGTAAATTTAGGTGAATAATGTCACCGAGGAAAAAGAAGAAGAAAAAAAAAAAATTGGAAATCATGATTTTGTGTATGTTCATGAGTGAATTACCTTTAAAATTTAAATTATCTAGACAATACTAGAGATACATAGACATACATATGGAGTCGAGTTATCACTCTTAGATACATTTTAAATATTTTAAATTATCTAGACAATACTCTTAATACATTATTTGGATCAACTTATATAAACTACTTGACTACTATTCATTTGTTGATTATGTAGATTGATACTATATTTTAATCATATTATACTATTAATGATTATATTTTAATCAAATTTTATAGGAAAGAGATAAAAGTAAATGATTATATTCATATTTGAAAGAAAAGAGGTAAGAGTAGTAAAGTTGATCAGATCTGCTTCAGATCCAGTAAACCCATGTAAACAAACTATGTTTCAGATATTGAAAAACCAATTAAATTGCAACATACCAAAATCAAATATATTTTTAGTTAATAGTTAGTTTTTATAATAACTTCATGCAACATACCAAAAGCATATATATTTTTAGTTAATAGTTAGTTTTGATTATAACTTTATGCAATTATGCATATGTAAAATAACATTTTTCCATTTTTTTAAATATATATTACCATCATAAATATATTCTTTAAATATATATTACTAGCAAAAAAAATTTGTCAATAAAATTTTTGAGGTATAGTCTAATTATTTCAATAATGTATATATAAACTAATATTTTTTTTTTTCATTTCCATACATATATATTACTCACACTCATGACGGAATTCGTGTATTAATATAGTACAAGTGTACAACACTAATAATTACACGGTACTAGTTAAAACAAAATACTAAAACTCTAAAAGTATGTAAAATAATTTCTTAATAATTATATTATTATTTTATATTTAAAATGAGACTTTTCAATTGTATGATTTATCCACCTTATTGTATATTTTGGATTTATAATTTTATTAATTTTTAATAAGTACTAATAGATGATTTAATTTTATAATAAAAAAATAAATTACTTCTTTATTTTATATATGCAATGTGGGTATCAAATCAAAGCTTATATGTGAAATCGATAACAAACACAAATGTTATTAACTTTTAAAATATATTTATAATTTAAGTTAGTGAATTTTAATATTAAATGTCCTAATAGGTACAAGTAGAATATCAAACTATTCCGAAGCACCAGCAGGGCAAATAGGATAACGAAACACCAAAATTCTACACATAGAATTATGTAACACCAATTAACGAAACACCACGCGCAGGATTACAAATTACCAAATGACTTGTACGTAGATCAGACTATTTCGAAGCATAAAAGATCTGCACATATGATAAAAAGAAGCACTAAAATTTGACACATAGGATATTGAAGCAAAAATTAACTAAGCACATAATTTGACACATAGAATTACGAATTACCAATGTACCCGTAGGATCGAGATATTCAACATACATATAGAGGGGTTTTCCAAAAACATTTTTTTATTTATTGAAATTTACGTTTCAATTACAATTTTTTCTACCGTTACAATAATTTACTCAAAAAAAATTCCAACGTAAAATACACATTTTCATGTAAATTTTACAATAATAAATCGTTGCAAAAATTGACAGTTAAAAATCATTATATTGCCATGTAAATTGTAATAAAAATATTGTTCCAATACAATATTTTAATATTGGTCTCTGTTAATGTATTTATTTGGATTTTTCCAATGAAAATTATAATATTGCAATATTTGTTGTAATTTTTGTTAGAGAATTTCTTCATTTCCACTAAAATATGATGATTTCTTTTTTTAGCGTATCTACCATTTACATTTTAAAACTCTAAATGCAATAAATATGTTTACCCTACTCATAATTATTTATTTTATTCAATTCTAGAAAGTATAGTATTAATGCTTTATTTATTTATTTTGCAGATGGGAAGCTGAAGACGACACAATTATCAATTTCCCCACTGTGAGGATGAAGAACAGAATGCCAGTTTGGGTCAAAAGAAGGGATCTCCTTTAACCAGCTTACTTTCAAATTCCAATCACACACTATAATTAAAGTGGTAAAAGAAAAAGAAAATATGAAAAAATTAGGAGAAACCAAAAGAAAACAAAAACCACCAACAAGAAGGACGAGACAAAAGGCAAAGTACCAAAGAAGAGAAAAAGGGGTGAAAATGATGCACACGTGTGGGGGTCAGTTTGGAGTATACATATCATTACACGTCAAATGAAATATTTTTACTGACAGATTATTTGTTAGATATGTTAAGATATACTTAAATCTTTGAATATCTCTAGTTGTTTTTGTTTTTTTCTTTTTCGTATTGTACTCTATTTATTCGTACACATGTATTCAGTTTAAGCAAGTGAGAATAAGATTTCTTTGATTATCACATGGTATCAGCCAAACTCTTTGGCAAACCCTAATTTTTTTTTTCTTTTCGGCCGTTCCTGCTTCTTCCATGGCCGCCGAGGGTAGCATTCCTTCGCTTCCTCTGTCTACAATGATCCATATGGTAAATATCAAACTCACTTCCGCAAATTACCTCTTGTGGCATGCCCAGATCGAACCCCTTCTCATCACCCAGGGTTTTCTTCCGCATCTGGATGGCTCATCCCCATGCCCATCGCACGAGATCACTACACCGGCAGGTCTAAAAACTCCCAATCCCGACTTCGCCCCCTGGTATTCCCGGGATCAACCGATCCGGCTATTTCTTGTTTCCACTCTTACGGAGGAGTCCATGGCCGTTGTTATTGGATGCACTTCGTCCCGCGATGTCTGGACCTCTCTGACTCGTGCCTATAGTCATGCCTCGAAGGCTCGAGAACTTAGCCTGAAGGACGATCTTCTCTCGGTCAAGCGTGGGGATCTCTCCGTCTCTGAATATGGACAACGTTTCAAGACAATTTGTGACAAACTTGCTGCCATCGGTCGGTCTATTGATTCGACTGACAAATCTCACTGGTTCCTGCGAGGCTTGGGGCCTGCTTTTTTGACGTTCACGGCCGCGCAACTTGCTCATGAGCCTCTTCCTGAATTCCACACTCTTCTTGCTCGTGCCGAAAGTCACCAACTTTTCCAACGTTCCTCTGACATCTCGCCATCGTCCTCTTCAGTTGCCTTTTATGCTGCTCCTAAGGGTCGTCCTCCGACCTCGTCTCAGCCACAAGGACGTTTCAAGAAAAATAAAGGCAAAGGTCGTCGTCCGCCGTGGTGCTATTTCTGCCGTGACGAGAACCATGATGCATGGGACTGTCCTAGACGTTTTGACCGCTCTTTCACTCAGCCCTCCCGATCTTCTAATACAACTAATCTGGCCGAAGCACTATCTTCAAGCTGCTCTATATCGCAACCTAATGTTTCTGATTGGTACTTAGACACTGGGGCTTCTGCTCATATCACCTCGGATGCATCTCAGCTTGATGATCTTACTAATTACACCAGCTCCGATCATGTCACAGTGGGTAATGGTGATCAACTTCCTATCACGCAAACTGGTTCTCTTATTTTTTTCTAATCATCTTTATTTACGTGATGTCCTCGTTGTGCCTAGAATGACTAAGAATCTTTTGTCTGTTAGCAAATTGACCAGGGACTTACCTGTTCATGTTTTCTTCACTGATTCTTCCCTTCGTATTCAGCACAAGGACAGCGGCAACATAATCGCAACCGGCGTGCGTGATAGTGGTCTCTACCGTTTGGATTTGGCGGTCAAAGCTCTTACGGCTCATACATCCAGATCTCGGCGTGCTTCCTCTGATCTTTGGCATTCCAGACTTGGACACTCCTCTCCAGCTATTTTAGCTACTTTAGTCAATATGAAGTTGTTATCTGTTACTTCCAGTTTTTCTAAGTCCGTCTCATGTACTCCATGTCATTTAGCTAAAAGCAAGCGTTTGTCTTTTCCTATTTCAACAAAACGATCTTCTGCTTTTTTGGATTTAATTCATTGTGATTTGTGGGGACCTTCCCCAATTACTTCTACTGCTGGTTTTCGGTATTATGTTATTTTTGTGGATGACTACTCGCATTTTACTTGGTTCTACCCTCTTCGTGCAAAATCAGATTTTTATGAAACCTTTATAAGCTTCCAGGCATTTGTCGAAAATCAGTTCTCTTGCACCATCAAGCGTTTTCACAGTGACGGGGGTTCTGAGTTTGTCAACAATCGTGTTAAAGCACACTTCTCTAAATGTGGAATTCACCATCTTCTATCATGTCCGTATACTCCGGAGCAAAATGGTAGAGCTGAACGGAAGCATAGACACATCATGGAGATGGGTCTCACTCTTTTGTTCCATTCTTCGGCTCCTCTACATTTTTGGGTGTGTGGTTTTTCCATGTCTACGCGACTATGTGAAGCACAAGCTCCAACCTCGCAGTCAGCCGTGCATCTTCATTGGCTATAGCCCTTCTCACAAAGGTTTTCGATGCTTGGATCCGTTAAACTCGAAGGTCTATATCACACGCCATGCTCACTTTGATGAATCGTGCTTCCCTTTCTTTGCAGTCACGTCTTCGGTTGCTCCTTCTTCCCTGGATATCTCAACTTATGTTGATGGTTTTCTTGCTCCGGACACCGATCCTCTCTCAACATCACCTACTCTGTGCGTCGAGTGACTTGGTCCAGCCATCCGCTGTCCCACCACTTAATCCTTCTGTTACGACCCCCGCTGATGATCTTCCTCACGACCAGCCTGCTGATGCGCAACTCGATCTTCAGCCGGATACTGCGCCACCAGCTCCTCCTGCTGTGCCACGAGCACCTCCTGCTGCCACGCATCCGATGCAAACTCGAGCAAAGTCCGGTATCTTTAAACCTCGATATCCTGCCACCATTAACTGTGCATCTCTTCTTACTGCTCTTACGGCTATTCCGGAGCCACGTGGTATCACGACTACTCTTAAATCTCCAGAATGGGTGCGTGCTATGCATGCGGAATTATCTGCTTTAAAGGCAAATAATACTTGGTCTCTCGTGCCGCGACCTTCCTCCACCAACGTAGTTGGTTCGCGGTGGGTGTTTCGTACTAAACTTCTTGCTGATGGTTCTGTTGATCGATATAAAGCTCGCTTGGTTGCCCAAGGGTTTAGCCAAATTCCTGGTTTTGATTTCACTCACACATTCAGTCCGGTTGTCAAAGCATCCACTATTCGGATTGTTCTTTCACTTGCCGTTATGCACTCCTGGCCACTTCACCAACTGGACGTAAAAAACACCTTCTTAAATGGTGTTCTCTCTTCTCCGGTCTTTATGGAACAGCCCCCTGGCTTCATTGATCCTCGCTTTTCTGACCATGTTTGTCAGTTAAATAAAGCCATCTATGGTCTCCGGCAAGCTCCCCTTGCTTGGTATCAACGCTTCCGCGGTTTTCTGCTTTCCATTGGTTTTTTATGCAGTTCTTCTGATACATCTCTCTTTGTTCACAAGAGAGGCGACACATTGGTTTATCTTTTGGTTTATGTTGATGACATAATCATCACCGGCAACGTTCCAACTGTCCTTGCAGCTCTCATCTCTCGTATGCATCGCGAGTTCGCGCTTAAGGATATGGGCTCCCTTGGCTTCTTTCTTAGTCTACAAGTTACTCGCTCCTCTTCCAGCTTATTTCTCAGTCAGACTAAGTATGCCTTGGACATTCTTCAGCGCACTGAGCTCCAGCACTCCAAGCCCGTGGCTACCCCGCTTGCACCCGACTCTTCCATGACCAAAGATGGTGATCTTTTTGACAACCCGACACTTTATCATTCTCTGGTTGGTGCACTGCAATATTTAACAATCACACGCCCCGATATTGCTTATTCAGTAAACACCGTTAGTCAATTCCAACAACATCCAACCATTGATCACTTTCATTCTGTCAAGCGGATTCTCCGCTACGTCAAGGGGACGCTGAACTATGGTTTATCCTATTCTGTTGGTCCTTCTTCTCTTGTTGGATACTCCGACGCTGACTGGGCACGGTGTTCTGACACTCTTCGCTCAACCTATGGTTATGCCATTTATCTTGGCCCCAATCTTGTTTCCTGGAGTGCGAAAAAACAGCCAACCATGGCTCGCTCTAGTTGTGAGTCTGAATATAGAGCCATTGCTCACACTGCTTCGGAAATACAATGGGTTATGAATCTCCTTCGCGATTTGCATGCGGTTCCACCATCCTCTCCAAGGCTTTACTCTGATAACACAAGTGCGGTTTTTCTCACTCAAAATCCGGTTTCGCATAAGCGCACAAAGCACATTGATATCGATTATCACTTCGTTCGCGAGCTTGTGGACTCTGGGCGTCTATTCACTCAATTCGTGGAGTCCGACAATCAGGTGGCGGATATATTCACGAAGAGCTTGTCGCACGGTCTCTTTGCTCATTTCAGGACCAAGCTACGCGTTTCTATTGCAGACACGACTTAGCTTGAGGGGGGGTGTTAGATATGTTAAGATATACTCAAATCTTTGAATATCTCTAGTTGTTTTTGTTTCCTTCTTTTTCGTATTGTACTCTATTTATTCGTACACATGTATTCAGTTTAAGCAAGTGAGAATAAGATTTCTTTGATTATCACATTATTAAGGCAACTTTTTCACTTTTTTTTTTCTTTTTAATTCGAGTCATTATTGTATAAATATAATAAAGATTATTTCTTTTGTTAGGCAAATCATCAAAGTGTGGCATGATTGTGGCTACATGTTTTCAAGCACAGTGGGGTTTATTAATTACTTTTTTGCCTTCCACTTAGAAATTTTTGTAAGAAAGAGTAAGAAAATGTTGCACATGAAGTGAAAATTGGTCTTTTATCTTTAATGGGCCCGTAAAAAATGTTATTATTCTTATGATGATGATGATGTGTGTGTTGTGTTTTTGTGCTTGTGTGTGAACTGTGATAATAATGGAATGAGTTTGGCTAAATGTGAAATTTGTGATGAGAAAATATGGTCTCCTCATATTAATGTGTTTTCATAGCCCTTGCAACCTTATTGAGACGTTCAATATTATCATGTTGTCTGGATGGATATGACCAAGAACGGGCAATATTTCAAATAATAAAAGATCTAAATTTTTTACCCTAATTCTGCTAATATTAATTCACCTAAAAAATAAAAAAATAATGATTCACTTTAATTGATAAATTTTATTTGGTATAAATGTTGTAAAAATAAGTGATCAACGCTATTTAAGCAGAGCCAGCAGCTTAAATCTACTACTAGAACACTTAGGTGGTATCATAAAAATATTATAAAACATGCATAATTAGAACTGCAAGCAAGAAGACTGACAAACCGAGCTCAAGTTCGGGCTATTGAGCTAATAATAAGGTCGAGCTCGTTAACGAGTTAACGACACTTAACAAGTCGACTTGAGAAAGTTCAATTATGCTAAAATTTCTGAAAATTAATTAAAAATCTCAATGTATCAAGCCAAAAGAGCCTTAAACAAGCTTAACTTGGATCAAACAATAGCCTAACTGAGCTCGAGTCTTAACGAATCGGGTGAGTCAAGCTTACAAGCTGCTCATTTCACGTAATAACTCTATACATAATTATTAATCAATGTAAAGAAAATCAAAATCGTTTTACTATATATCTTTAAATTATGAATAAAAAATAAAATATTTCCTTGTTAGGGATTTCTGTGAACATACCAATAATAAATCATTGTCGTGTTTTGTACCTAGCTACTGATCTGAAAACGATTCAAGTAAACTATAAGTTGAGGAATTGCAATTTGGATTCTGGAGAATCTGAATTTGAGAGAAGTTTTATGAATATGGGCCATTTTATTTAAAGTCTTTTGACTGTATGAGCCCAATATATGGAGACCCTGTCAGCATACTTTGAAATAAGGACACGGTGATACATTCCGTAAAATTTATTTACTCTTTTGCAACAGCATATGACACATTCCGTAAATACTCCGATTTATTCTTATAATACAGTTTAATTGTTTAGATAGAAAATGTGGTGTAATTTAATTGTTTTATATGTATATAATTCACCTGATATTTTTATTGTTTATAGGTAGTTGCTTTTATGTTGTTTCATAGAAGTTATTGTGTTGTTTTGATATTGCTTATCTTGGTTGTTATTTTTATAATATATATTATTAATTTTTTAATTACAATAACAAATCTTTGTGTTGTTTTTTAGTTAATTTAATTTAATTGCTATATTTAATATTTCTATGTATATAATTTCAATCTTTTTGTTTTTGTTTTGTTTTTTGTTGGGTTATTTTTTTCTTTAGGCATCTGTATTTGAAGAAGAAGACGAAGAAGAAAGAAGAAAACAAAGGAAGAAGTGAAAAAAGGTGGAAATCATGAGACAGAGAAGGAAACAAAAAGAGGAGAAAGGAGAAAAAGTGGAAGAGAGAGAAAGCAATGAATAAAGAGGAACGGTTTTTATACAGTGCTACTACCGTGTGCCTAGGTACACCTAGCTAGGTGTGCCAGGGCAGTTTAAAATGAACATGTTATGTTACAAAATGAACATGTACAAACATGATTTGCACATGTTCATTTTGTAACATAACATGTTCATTTGTGGTACGTTTTTATACAGTGCTACTACCGTGTGCCTAGGTACACCTAAGTATTTGCGGTTTTTATATGTTGAGGAATGAAAACGAATAAATTTGGTAATGAAATTATCTTTTATGAATGGGTCAATTATGTACTTTGCGGGCTGTGGAATATGGGCCACGTTCCAACTATGTTGAATGTTATTAGTTTATAACTATTGTTGCCTNTATAATTATATAAAGATTGTATTACTGAAAATAGTAATGATTTTTATTTTCAAAAATAATTGTTGCTTAATATGTGATTTTTGCAAATAATTTGAATTTTAAACTTTTGAATGTGGTATAAAAATAGTGACAAATTTTCTTAAATATTGTTTATAAATGTTGCATATAAACTGATTTAAAGTGGGATAACATCCCAACGAAAGCATAAATTTATGGTTGTTGTATTTTCCTTTTGATATATATAGCTATAGCTCGGGTAAACTGGAGTTGCGACCTGTGAGCTTAACCGATTGGACATCTGATATCAGCTAGGAGTTGGGTTTTTGGCTCAGTTCTAGTGCATGGCAAGTAAGTGCGGGCTGGCTACAAACCTGGATTGCGACCTGAGTAACCAGAATCGATCTGGAGGAGGTAAGCTTATTATTGGTGATGTTTCTCAAAGACTACCAATAATTTACGACTTGATAAAAATAATTATGCTTATTATTGGTTATATTTCTCAAAGTTCTATATTTCAATACAAGGATTCATTAATCTGTTTAGTAACAAATCACGAACTTACACAACTAAATTTTATAATTTTTATTTTATTTTATTTCTAGTATATTTGTTTGAAAAATAAAAAAATACAAAAACGGAAAGAGAAAAAAACAAATTTATGTTTTTCATAAATAATGTAATTTATTAGACTAAAAGGAATGATTTTTCAAGAATAAACAATAAAAATAAATTATCATCTACATGTATTAGGAATGAATTTGCATATCCATTTGAAAGGTATCTCAAAAATAGTGAATATCGTTTACTCGAATAAAAAAAATATCTGAATATAATAAGTTTCTTACCAATATCAACCATGAATATGAAAAAAAATAAAATACAAGAAAAAAAAAAAGCAACTTAACATGGCATCAAAAATTAGATTGATTATATGTATGTGGGGTAAAAAATACATTGATATTTCCCAACTGATACTCAAAAAATAAATAAAAAAAATAGAAATGATAGCATACAAATACAGAGGGTGACGTGATTTCAAAGCGGTGCAACTCATTTCTTTAATTGTGAAAACTGAAAATAAGATTAATATTATTGTTAGTTTGATTTGATGTGTTGTTGACCAAAAAATATAAAATCTGTTTAATTTTGTTTAATTTTATTTCGTATATTTTATTTTATTTTTATCAAAATCTTGTAAAGACCATCTAAACATATGCCCATAAATTTATTGTCGTCATTTTAATTTCTTTATTAGTACATAATTATACAACTATAAAAAAATAAAATAAATTGCACAATGGGTTACTATATTGTTCATTTTTTATTCGTATGTCAATACTATTTTCTTATGAATGATGGAAATATATCTTCTTTATCCAAATATTACGACAAATAAAGTTTCACACAACATACACAAATGCAACAACTATTTTTTTTTTTTTTTTTTTTATCATATATCACAAGTGTTAGTTTTACTTTTATTATTTTAGAGCTATATATTATAATTTAGATATTTTATTATTTTTTATTGCAAGTATTCTATCGATGTGTATTTCTAACAAAATAAGTTAAATTATGAGTCTCATAAAATGCAAAATAAGTGTTGATTGTTGATCTAAAAATTGACGGTGATCACCTTGCTTGTTAACTTAATATGGCCTGAAAATATAAAGAAAAAAACATCTTGAAAGTATATAGATAAAAAATAATTTGATATAGATAGACATTTATATGTTTTTACTTTTACAAGGACATTTATTGTCACATTTTGTAAACAAAATAAAAATTAGATGATTTGGTGTTTGAACATGACATCATAGTTTAATTTCATTTATGGTAAAAAACAGACTAATATTGCGGAATGATATTGTCAAAAAGAAAAAAAAAAATAGTAAATGATATATAACATAAAGAGTGAGAGAGCCTCAACCATAAGATATAAAGAGTGACGATATAGTTTTGACTGTGAAGTATGAATAAAACAATATTTAATTATCATCCAATTATTTAGTGAAAATTTTGTTATATATGAGGCCTTTTATATTTTTATTGGTCCTAATTGATTGAGTAGTTTGAGCCCATAATGCATAGTTTGTTTATTTATTTTAATTTTAGTTAATCTCATTTGTTTCATTTAGGTCTAAATTTGAGGTCATCTAAAAATTTGTGACTTAGGTGATTGACTGATTGCCATATTTTAATTTCTTTATTTGTCCTCAATTGTGGAACTATAATTTTTTACGAATAAAAATAGCATAATGTGTTAATTACTGTTAATTTTTTGTTATTGTAACACATTTTTTTTTCGTAATATAATAACAAGAATATATCATCACTACTGAATCATTGCAATAGATAATGTTCAATACGACTTAATATAATACATCAACCACTTTTTTCTAATCATATATAATAAAATGTTACTTGTATCAAAATAAACTTTACCTTTTTATACTTTATATAATATAATTTAAATGTCTTTTTATTTTTATGAAAATTCTATCAATGTACATTTCTAGAAATTACATTGAATTACAATTTGCATGATTTATGTGCAAAAAATAAGTAATTCTTATTGACATGAACATTAATGATTACCATGCCTATCTATAACTATACAAAAAGTGATTCATCTTGCAAGTCATTATGATCCCCACCAAACTTATTTTGTAAAAAATGAATTATTAAAACTTATTTGTCATATAAAAAAATAAAAATATGTGGTCCTAATTTGAAACTAAATACACACAGTTCGGAATTGATTAATTTTGACTTTTTTTAAGTATTTAATTTATATTTTTTATTTTTAATTGGATCATATATGCACATGTCTAATTCCATTAGTCTATATCAATTTGTCTATATATTAGTAATAATGTATTTATTTATTAAAAAAATAATAAAATTATGTTATTATTGAGACATTTTCAAGGAAAAAGTTTCAAACAATGTCATTTATAAATACTTTTTTCATTGAATGTCACAAATGTTGTATTAAGTTTTATTTGATTAGTTTTAGTCTTTTTATTAAAAAGGCGTGTAATTTTATAGTCACAATTAGCTATATGTTGTTGTTTACAGAGTCACAAATTTCTATTATCTGATGATTATTTTATTTATGATAATAATAGTAATAATAAACAAAGTTTATCCACTATTAACATTATATTTAATAAAATACTTTAAAATTATAATAAATAATTTATCTTACTTTTTATATGGCTATACATATTTCATGAATATAATTTATTTTTAAATTATAATATATACGGGAACTCACGCCCCAAACAATCCTACTGCACCAAATTTGCAATCTCCTCTCGTTTTTGCGTCTTCTGACTTATAATTTCAGACCTATTCTCAGTTTGCTCATAATTTCTCACCTTTCATCTAATTCGCAATTCCTCATCATTCTCGCGGTGAAGGTACGAAATTCAGCTTAATTAAGGTTTTGTTGCAATATCAGATAGCACAAATTTCGCATTGATGTGGGGTGGAGTGAAAGGGTACTTTGTAAATTAAGGGGAAGTGTTCTCTGAAATTAGATTTTCTGGATGACAGGCCAATTGTGTAGTGATTGGGATTGGGCTATCACTTGTAACTAAAATCACGCTGTTTGCATGTT